AAGGAGTTACTATATATTTCTACTTCACTGTTATTGATATGTTTCAAAGGGCTCTAGTTAGATTAGACTATAATATGAACATAATGATTCGGTCCATTGTTAAAGTTTTTTTTCCCAATATAATTTAAAAAGTAATATTACTGATATATTTGCTATAAATCACATAACAGTATTTATTAAAAGAAATGAAATATTAATGTATATTCTCAGTAGTTTTAATTTGCTAAACCAGGTAGTTTTTCAAGTAATAATTGTCTCTTATGTGAACTGAGGAAAAATATAATTTCCAGCTTTATTTTTTCAATTGGTAATTTTTTTTTCACTAAATGTTAAGTATCAATGTAATCGTTTTTATAATAATAGATTAGTACACAATTGTATGTCAACACATTATTTATTACCTTAAACTGTCTGGAATTTCTTATTAAAGGGTTGCGCTTGCGTAAAATTTACTATCGTGGAGATTCAGCTTTCTTGCCTTTTGGCTAATCTCATTCCTGAGACTAGAAAAGGATAAGAAGGGAAAGCTTCTAGAAATTGAGTCACTGCTGTGCAGCTTCTCTTTTTTAGTAGTACGCACCTTTTTTACTTTCCTTTCGCTTCTGTTTTTGCCTACGTGTGTAATAAAAGTTTTTATTTTTTGTGCAAATACGTCTGAGATTAAATTAAATGATTATTTTCCTTCATTTTCGGAATCTGGCATTATTATTTTTTCATTTATTACAACAATTTTTTTTATTATTATTCTTCTGTTATACTTTTAATTTTGTATTTCGTTATTTCTTTCTTTTTTTGTGTGTGTAAAAGTAAACAATTTTTAGAAACAGTCTATGAAAATCTATGGCACTAGAGGTATGAATCTAGAAATTTTCCTCGGCAGGCAAAGGGTTAATAATTTGGAGAAATTTCTAAAAAGGAAAACTTTGTTTTCGCAAAAGAGGGAGTTTAAATTAGTGTTGAAGTCTACAGAAAATAAATTTTGCAGGGAGTGCTTTTATCCACTTCTAACTATGTATAAGGACTATTATTAACTAAGAGCAAAATGGTGCTCCTTTAGATTGAACACTTTCTTCCATTTGCACAGAAGATAGTATATTTGAATTTTTGCAAAACATGACTGGCCTCCAAACTCTCTGAATCTTTATCAATTCTATTATTTTCCATGGTGTTACATGCTATTAAAACTGACTGACGTAAAGTGCACAAATTAGAACCTATTTTCTAGTATTGCAGATTGAGTACGAAAGAAAACTCAATGGATGATGCTTGGTTTTGTGCATAATATTGTTTCTGTTGGTGTAAATAAAATAATTTTAAATCTTTTTAAAATTTTTTGTTCAATCAGTCTGAGGACTAATCGCACACATTCAATATGTTGTGAGTTGTAGGGATTTAAAAGCTTTTTAAATTGCATTTGCTAAGCAAGAATTTAAATAAAGAGCGTTTAATACCAGAATTAATAATCTTCCACAAATAATGTTAAAGTTGGCAGCTATATTCGAAGCTGCATGGTCAGAAATAATAATTATATAGATGGCCCAGAATCTAAAAGTGAATGAAAGTGTAAATGTGAGCAAGCCTTTGAGAGAAATTTTAAAAAAATTATATTTTTACGGGTTAAAATTATAATATTGGGGGTTTTGTTACCTCATTTTATTAAAGTTCCTCTCGAGCACATGAAAAGATAAGATTCTACATTCTGCGAGCAACCCATATTTTACAGCTTTTAGTTAATTTGACACTGAGCCGTTTGTTCACACGTTGGCAAAAATTTCAATATAGCACCTACAGTAACATTTAAAGCAATAGTTCTTTATCATTTACAAACACATACACCAAACCTTTGTTCAACGCTGCAAATATTGCAAGTGGAAAATCTATTCTTCAAAGAAAAAAATATTCAGATATTTAAAGTGTCATTAAATCAACCCATTAGGTAATATTGTAATTTCAATGCTAAGTTCAAACTAAAAGTCAAAATTCATTTACATGGCCGTTTACTTAACCAAGCATTTCACATAATACAGGGTGCCCACTAAAGCCTGTATCCACTCTCCTAATTTTTAAACAGCTAAAGTTATAAAAGTGGTGCATTGGTATAGTAAAGTAGCTATGTGGTATATGAGACATTTACAGCACCACCTGATGAAAAATTTATTTTCCTCTTCAAAAACTGTTCAAGAAATTAAAAAAATAAATCTGAATTACAAATTTGTTCAGCATCATTAATTAAATACTAATTGAACTCGAGTGCAAAAATTTCTAAAAAAAAGTTAATTTCAGTTTGTTATTGATATCCTACATTTTAATGTTAAAGAAAAATGAGTTTTCGCTGTTTAACTTTATTTCTATTAGTTCAAACTTCTTTTAAGCTTTGTATGACAAAAATAAAAATATTTTGATCAATTTTTTATTCTTTTTAAACCCTTTCGTGACATGATTGAGAAAATCATGAACAAACAAGTGATCACTTGTTTTATATTTTTTTCTTAGAAATAATTTCTTCTAATTATCGATTTGAAGTAAATCAATGATGTTCTACAACCTTGTAAATGTTCTAGACCCTAAATCATTTTCAAGATAGAGACCCTACATTCAGTTTTCTACTAGATAAGTAGTCTCATTTCACAGTGTATAGCCACTTTACTATATCTAGATGCAACTTTTATAAATTTTGTTGCAGCTTTCCAAACTGAGAAGTAGGGACGTGGACATAAATAGGCACCTTTTATGGTGTTTTGATTAAATTTTCAAATATTAGTACTTACTAAACAATAGATTTTTATTCTAATTTACTAGCTTCTCTCTCAATTCTCTAATACAATTTGCATCATTGTATAAGATAGTGCCATTTTCTCGTAAGATAGACCAAAGAAATAATTGCAACAGAAAATCTTTATATGAACTCAACTTTATTCTAGTTAGTTGAAAACCTGAATGCAAATGTGCTATTTATTTTGAGGCTGTTTAAATAATTTCTAAGTTATTCCTTCAAAAACTGTTTTATTGAATTGCAAAGGAAAAAAGAGGTTACAATTTAATTCCCATTAGCAGAGGAAAGGTAAATTTCTTCAATTCGTAAAAACTCAGTTTTCAAAATCATTAAAATATTTATATTTTGATTCTGAAAAGCTGAGTTATTCTTGATAAAGAAGCGGCCCTGTTTTGGTTCATATTATAGAAGAACTTCTATAAAAACTGCCCACTTGAATTGTAAATCCAAAACATTTTTAAACTTTTCTGGAAACAATGTTAGATAAGATGAACACAAATGAATTTCCTATCATTGTGAAATTTCAGTTGTCTGAACTGCTGAGACTTAATGCTAATAACAAACGTTTATTTTTTATCGCAGCTTGAAAGGTTTCGAAAAACTTTTTGGAAACCATTCTAAAGATCTTAAAATAAATACTTGATTTTAGTACCTTAAAACCTGTATTAAAAAAGTGTCTGTTATTAACGTTTTGTTTGTGACAAAATACTACATTTCCTTGTTTGAACGAAACTTCAGAGTCTTTCACTCTATTCATTAAAAAATAAATAAACTCGTATGCAGCAAATATATCTTTTACAATTAAAAGTTTTTTACTATTCTTTTTTTCAGTTATCCAATATTGACTGCATGCAGGGTGGTCCATAATTAAATTTATTAATGTTTGAATAGAAAAAATTTAAATTGTCATCAGTTGAATCGTAAGTGAGGAAAATGGGGCGAGCATCATTAAACTCATTTAAGCTGGGAAGGTTTTTCTAATAATCTCCTTTTCCAGCAATCAAACAGGTTTTAATGTTTTCAATCCCATTTTTCTAACTTGTGATTCCGCAAATTTAAGTAGCGTTCTTGTCTTTTTCTCTGCTTAAATATTAATTTGCAAATCCTAATGCACCAACAAAAATTTTAAATTATTCATTATGGAACACCCTGTGTGTCAGTCTAACATATACAGAATATATAGGATAGTTGTTTGAATTGCTCTGAAAATAAAAATTTTATAGTAATAAACAGGTGTTAGATATTGAAACTTTTGTTGATGCCCATATAATGGTGTTTTGAGTAGATATTGAAAAATCTTGTACCTTTAGAATATTTAATAAAATTTTTTTTTTATTATTTTAGATTAGATAATTCTAAATGAAAAAACTAGTTTTATATAGGTTGTGGTTTCCAATTTTTTTGTGATGTGAAATTATTGCATGCTCATTGTGTCTTATATGCTTAATTGTTAATGAGAACACTTTGTAAATAATTTTAAAAATGATGGGGACAAGGTATATTTAAAATGTTTCACAACATTCCTTATCAGGGTGCTTTGGTGCCCAGTTTAGAAATCTCTGGTATTGAAATCGAGGGATTTTGCTAAAAGGATGAAGGAGCATTAGTTGCATTAGTTGTTTTTATGTAAAACCAAAAATTTGTCATAATTCTAATAATTACCTTTAAATTATCTGTATAAAAAATGCTTTTATTTCAATGATGTATTTATTCTAAAAGCTTCAAAATAATCAAGTGACAGTGTTGCCATTAGAAGGATATTTTCAAAAGTAAACTTGTGTCCAACTCATTATTTTATAAATTTGGCAACTTTTAAACCCCAGCACCTGAAATAGGGAAAATTTTCTAGAGCATAAAAAGTGCTTTTTCAGTTGATTGTCATGTACTATAGTTATGTCAGAAAAATGAAATAATCAGAAGGGAGTGCTTTGACATTTATACACTTGTTATGTGTAACTAACAAAGTATAAACCCTGCATATGGCTAGTATAAAATTAAAAAAAATCAGATATAAAAACATTCAGTTTTATAAATTTTTCAAAGATTATTGAATATAAAAGTTAAATAAATATTCAGGATGTGTGTGAATAATTTGTTTTTAAGCTTTACAAATTTTGCTTTAATTTTTCACATTTCACTTATAATTGTTTATTTTATTATATATTTTAATAACTTAAATGATAAGTAAAGCAAAATATATGCTGTTAATATTTTTTTCTTATTTTAGCCTAAAAAGTCTCACCTGCCTGTGCAACTAGATGGCTCAAGGATTCGAGCTTACTCAGTAGGAAGTCAAGCAGCTCAGAAGCGAATTACCAATCCAGCAGAGCGAGAGTTAAATAATTTTATTACTATTGATCCTAGAACTGGTGCTAAATCATCTAGTGCGCCTCTTCTAAATAACAGGCCACCAAGGGTGCGTTCTTCTGCTAGTCGAGGTGATGTTGGGGAAGATCTAATGGAAATTGATTACAATAGATTAAAATATTCTTCATGTGGTATTGACTTTTGTGATTCAAACTTCACTATTGAACCTGTTGGGCGAAGTCGTAGTGGCAGCTATTCATCGTCAACGAATGCTGCTATAAAAATCCTTCATGACAGAGATAAATCTAAGTCACATTCCATTGGTCAAAGTTGTTCTGACGACACACAATTATCTAGTGACTATCTACAAATGTCACCTGTAGGTGACTCCTTGAAATCTTTATCACGATCACCAGCTTCTTCTATCTGCTCACCGTCTACTCTATTATCCAATACTTCTACTGCTGCTAGGCAAAATGAACCTATGCACCCTTCCGGTGATTATGTGAGCTTAGATCCTACTAGTACCTACCAAAAACTTGAAAATAGTCCTATGAGTAGTTTATCGAAAGGGTTTGCCCCTGCTATACTTAGAAATTCCCGGTCAAGGAGTCCACATTCCTCCTTATCATCAACACTGAGTCACTTGGAGGAAAAAAGTCAAAATAATAGTAATAAGGATATTTATGAGCATAATGCCTACAATAATCAACAGTTGTCCACCACAAAGGATGCAGCTTCAGATTATATGTGCATGAATTTTAGTCAAAATGGTGCTGAAACAAACTCTTCATTGCAAGCAAAAAAGTTGACCACTGACCATTCCTCACCTAAAATATCTAGAGCTAATTTTGAAAAGCAATTGGTGGAACCAAAACCCGTCAAGAAATGTCCTTTACCTCCCCTGCCTCAGGTAAATGAATCCTCCAAGCTTCCTTCTCCAGATTCAAAATCACCCTCTCCTCAACTAAGTGGCTCTGTATCTAGCAAGTTTGAACCTAAAACACCTCCTCCATCACCTTGTTACGGTGCCATATCCCCTCAACTCTCTGGTGCTCCTCTTGTTGAGAATCTAGTACGTCGCCTTTCTCAACCTTCTTATCCTGGAGGGACACCATCTGACACAAACTCTTGCAGTAACTCAGTTTGTGGAGAAGTACGCCTAAATTATGCTTCTCTGGATTTACCGCCTGCTTCAGACGATGATGCCAAACTTGTGTGCAACAGGTTGAAAAAATCACTCGAAGGTGAAACCAAAGAAGCTCCTCTGACTTATGCACAAATAGATTTTTCTCCAGTCAAAAAGCAAAAAGCTTTCCAAGACACTGAGAGTTTGAGCCATTTGTAAATTGCTGTTAGTTCCCATTTTCTTTAATCCAGTGCCTGGTTATGAGTGTTATCTAACAAAAGATATGCAGGATTCTTGCTTTCAGAGGATTTTCTGATCATCATGTAGCTTTGATTTTTCAAAATAATGATTAATATTTTGAGTATGAAGTGTATTTTCTTTAAATGTTGATCTATTCAACAAAACTTCTGGGGGATCTAGTTATAATGAACCCATTCCTTCTCTGAGTGTAATGTCATAACAATAGTAGAAGTAAAATTAAATCTAATTTGTAGTACCTTTGCTTACTGAATTCTATTTTCTTTTGCTTAAATATCATCATTACAGTAAATAAATATCTGTATCCGTCTCTTGTTTTTAAAATTATATTTAAATTACATTTCTTATAAAAACAAAAACTTTAAATTCTTTTTTTAAAGTTGATATTTAATTTTATTCTAACAAATTTTATATATTCTATATTAAATTATTATTTCTAAGTAAATGTTTTATTTACTAAGTTATTTTATTTTGGCTTGTGTAAATTATATATTGTTATATATTATGTAGAGTTTCGATTAAATTATAATTAAGTTTCATCGTTATCAATTATTCTAATTTTGATTCAGTTTTTCAAAACATTTTGTTTTTTCTTGTTCGTAATTTAAAAATCCAACAAAATAATCATTCGAAATTATTAAAATAAACAACAAAATATTCTTTGAAATATTTTGTGCCTTACTATTATGTTTTCTCGTTAGAAATTAAACAATTTAAAACATAACAAGTAAATATAAACTGAACATTTATTAAAAGACAAGAAATATTTTGTAAAAACTGAAACTTATCTTTGCTTGAACTTTTTCTTAGTTTTGCATGAATAAAAAGTAAAGTTGTAAAAAAAATTTAAATTAATTGCAATGCGCATATTAAAGTGATTCAAAAATAGGGTGAAGTTCAAGATTGTCTAGCGTCTTTTAAAAATAAAAATTGTGGCCTATAGATGAAAGAAATCTGTTAATATTTAGATGTAATGACTGCAGTTGAAAAGAACATTGCCTAGAAAAGTAACAGATTGTTATTTGATGCATTAAAACAAATGTTAACAAAATAGAACAAAACTAGTTTGACTAAATTTTCTAAACTTTCAAATTTTCTGTTCATTAGTTTCTGGGCTTAAAGAAGTGCTATATAGCATATGTTCTATTTTATTTTCCAAAACTTGAAATCGAGAGATCTCATCTGAGAAAAATTTTGTCGGTATATATAAATTTAGGAAATCTTTAATGTCCATCTACTTTAATAATCTGCAAAATTCCTCTCTGAACTGGAATCTATATTTAAGTGGTTAATTTACATGTGAGAAATGTATCAGAAAACTTTAAATATGTTTTTCTTTAAGTTAAATGTCCTCAACTGCGTTTTTCTTATAATGTATATATACTTACGTTTAAGCCATACTACTAAGTGATATACTTGTTGAAATTTTGATATCTATTTTATAATTATTTCTTGGTTAAATAATCAAAATTATCATTTTATAGAATTATTCAAACTTAAAAGATAAGTTTATTCCTATTTAAATAGAAAGCAACTCTTGTTAATTGAAGTTTGTATGAAGCTATTTGGAATAGTATAAAATAGTTCAAGTAGATTCAAAATCAGTAGGTTTCCTTTGTAATTATATGCTAGTTGCAATTATATGCCTTTGTAATTATATGCCTGTGAACTAAGAAGTGTTATGAATATAGGTTTGCACCTGTTTTTATTGATTTTATTTATACAAAACAAAATTATTTTATTTAATTGAAAGTGTAATTTAATACCGGACAACTATTATTTCCAAAATAATAATTTGTCGCTAACAATAATAATTTGCAACACCTATTTTTCAGTTCTTCCCCCCTTGAAGATCTAATAGTTATTGTGCCTTTTAATCTAAGCTTAAATTATACAGTATTGTTTGATGAAGCATTTGGACTTTGTGTCATTAAACCCTACATTTAATCAATCTAAGCATAATTTGCATTTCCAATAAAATTAAATAATTTTGATTTATAAATATCAAAATATATTTTTAAAAATTTTAATTTAGCTAAAGGCATGTTATAAAAATTATTTCAATATGTTTTATTAAAAGTAGATTTTTTGAAAACATTTATTTCAATCTAGCATTTTTATTAACCTTTGACAACTATCTCTGTTAACCTTCTTGCATCACTTTATAAAATTAATAAATAAAATATATTAGTTTGAAAATAAAAGTTAGTAATATAATCAGTTTATCTGCATCTGACTCTAAATATATGCTTAAACTTCATATTCCAATACCACACTTTGTTTTAAACTGGTTATTTCACTTTTTTTTTTCGTTCTTAAATATACTTATATGACTGATTTTCAGCAACATTAAAAATTAGGTTTCATGGATGGTATTGTAAACCTTATAATTTGAACCTATTGAAATTTGCTTAAAAAGTCTTATCTGCTCATATAGATAAAATTACTCTCTATTGCAAAAGAATTAATTATATGCATGTAAATTAACTGTTATATTAGTGTATCATTCAAGTTAATTTCTTATCCTGTAGGTTTCTGTCTATGGGTTTTAATAATTTTTACATCTAATCATTTTGGCTTTCCAAATTTCTGGGGTAACTTTTCTCTCAATAAAATAATATGAAGTGTATAAAGTCGTTCTGCTGTGGAGCTGTTTAGGATGAAGGGTAAATATATCCATATGTAGGACCTTCAAGAGGTTATAAATAATTAACTTTTGCTATATAAACATATAGTTGCTTTTTTTCTACCCTTTCATTAACAAATAACAAATATTCTAAAGCAAAAGAAAAGGTGTGCCACAGGAATGTCATTTGAACCCTGACTTCATATTTTTGATTAAAACAAAATACACTATTTTTGTTGTTCCTGAAGAAAAAAAATTTTTTATTTTGTTGTGTTCATATAAAAATTCATTTATATCATATAAATGTTGGCTAGCAGTTATATGCTAAATCACTATGTGACATAGTTTGTATATGTCTACGTGTTGTCCGAATTAAGTCTATGAGAGAGAGATAAAATAACATTTAGGTATTCCTGTACATTATTATACCTCAAAAATAGTTATTTGTTAATGGCAATTGTTTTAAGTTAAAGTTTAAACTAACACAGATGTTAAACTTATCTATTTAGATAGCTCGAGCTTTTGTGGTAGTTGTTGTTTACGAGTAAAATAATGTGTATGAGAGTTTTAATTTTTATAAATATATATATATATTATGAACATATAATCATCAATAATAATACAATTACTGTGTACAAATGATTTGTGGAAGTTTTCATTTGACTGTAAAAAATTGTGTGGAGGAAGTTTCTCTGCCATAAGAAATATTGGATATGTATAGTGTTAATATTTTTTAAAAAGAAAATTTAATGAAGAATATTAAATGAAAACTTGCATAATTGTGTAAAATATTGAAACACTGCCAATGGCTTTATTCATATAAATTAATTGATTTATTGGAATTGTTTTCTTTGCCAAAAATAAAGTCTTAAGATGCTTCAGTTTGTGTTTTTATTTGATTTTTTATCAAAATGGTTGCACAGGAAATTATTTTCTACAATAAATATACCAATCATAGTAACACCCCCTTTTTTGGTGTTTTAATGCAAGTGAGATGGGTTATTAAAATAACATACATGTTAGAACTGTGGTTACCAACTGGCGGCCCGCGGGCCACATCCGTTCGAAGCCTTTTTTTGAGGCCCGCGAACTAAAATATATTAGTTGTCATTCTTATGGGGACAATTTTCGTAAAAAATATACGTGGGTTAAAAATACTTTTCTTTCGTTAAAAAAACATAATTTCTTCATTTCTGTGAAATTTAACATACCAACAGTGCAAAAAAATTTATTTCTCAGGTAAAAATCTACTTCTTATTTTAATTTGTAATTCAATACTTTTGTGTTGTACAACTTGAAAAAGTCTGACAGTAATATTTAATGTTCCTTCAATCATAAAAGAGTCCTATATAAAATTTTGATAAAGTTGCGGCCCGCCATTTGATTGGTGTTTTTATTTGCGGCCCCCGGCCTCATGTAAGTTAGAAACCCCTGTGTTAGAATAATGGATTTCGATAAGTCATGGCAGGTAATTTATTGTTATAAAATATTCTATTTCTCCATTCTATTGTTATAAGGGTTGTTTTTACTATATCATCACTGTTCCATATTTGAATGAGTTGTGCCCAGATACAACTAGTCTCATTAAGGTACTACATTAAGCAATAATTTTTTTTTTTGTAAAATGATTACAGTATCATTACATATAACACCATGCTTTATATTGTAACGATATGTAACATTCAAAATTTAAGCCACAATGTAGGATTTTCTGAAATGAATATTCCTTCATATAATAAACTAATCTCTATTTTTATATAACATTCATTCATACTTGAACCTTTACTGAGATAAAAAAATATAAACCATTAAAATTATGCTAGTTTATATTGCTCAATCAACAAAATTTTCTATTAATTACTTTTTATTTTGGAAAATGTGAGTAAGGATGTAGCACAAATTGCTTCATTCTTTATGTGTATAAAATATTAGTGAATGAAGGTACCAAGTGGCAGTCTGAGCATTTTTAGGATTAGAAAGTATACGTGCATTTAGAAACAACAGTGAAAAACCTGTATTAGTATAGAAAATTAAAATGCCAAACGTGTTAATGTTTGACTCAAACAGTTTTAATGAGAGTTATGGATTTGTTGCTTTTCATTAGAAATTTACTGACTAACTTAATAAAATAAACTTGTACGTTTTTTTTCAAAGTGTAAACTTTAAAGTTAGTTACTTTAATCCCTTAAAACTTACTAAAAACTATTTTGATAAAAGAAATCTAAAATTATGTATATAATTTCAAACAACTCAATAATAACAAAGCACCAGGAATCGGCAGCATAGACAATATTATCATCAATAATTTAATTCACCATTTTCATAATTCTCCAACACATGTTCAAGATTATCAACATTTCCGAACTTTTTTACATTTGGCCAACTCACTCTATTCTTAAAACCTGGAAAAGATCCAAAAAAAAATGTTTTGAAGAATGTGTTTTTAATTCATATATACTGAGTGGCTAAATTATTATGACCACCTAACAGTTTATGCAAAATGAGCTATTGCGTCTCAGGGTCCCTGATAGAGGGCGAGATAGCTACGAAAGGGAATGCAAGGCAATGCATCAATTGCAATCGCTTGGAGATATGGGTAAGAAACTAGTTTCAATGCAAGATGATTGCAGACGCTCAAAGCGTCGGAACCAGTATCAGCAAAACTGCTGCTCGTGTGAAGTCTTGGAGAGCACCAATTATTGTTTACAGAGAGTGGACTACCAAGCAGAAAACTGGGTCTCAATGCCAAGCTTGTGGTGGTCACAGGCTTCTGAATGCTTGAGCTGATAGGAGACTTGTGAGAGTGGTCCTGCCCAACAGGAGAGTGACAGTATATCAAATATCTTAATAAAGGTGCAACTGCGAACGTCTCTGAACGCCACACATGACACAATGTAGATTACCTGCTTCTGCTGTCAGTCTTGAACAAGAGCAAAGTCTCCAGTTTTTAAAGGAGCAGACAGTAGGTGACTAGAATTGGGTAATGTGGTCTGATGAATTAAGTTTTTAATTACACCATGCAGATGGCAGGGTTTGGATATGGCGAAAATTGCACAAAGGCATGGGCCTCAGTGCCACAACACTTTGTTTTCTTGACATTGCACGAGTCCTTTGATTCCTGTGGAACGTCTGAATGCCCAAAAAGTTGGCTGAATGCTCGAAGTGTTATTTCAGGGATATTGCAGATTAGGTTCATTCTGTTATGTTAATGGCGTACCCTGCCAGGGATGAATGCTTTCAGCAACACACTGTTTATTATCATACAGCTGATAGTTGTCAGATGGTTTGTAGACGGTGACTTTACCTTGCTTCGTTGGCCTGCACAATCACCAGATCTCAATCCAAATGAGAATTAGTGGGATGAGATTGAACAAGGCATCAAACAGCTGGATATAGTGCCATCCAATCTGACAGAACTGAAAAGTGCAGTTCATCAGATATGAGGTCAAATTCCTCTTACCAACTCACATAGAATCTACACCAAGCTAAGATGGTCCAACATTGTATTGAGAGGGTGGTCATAATAATTTGATCACTCAGTATATATTTTGATCAAAGATAAGAGTAATTTATTCATCAACTCAAACCTAATTATAGTGATAGTGAAGGGGGGAATATATAGGAAATCAAAACCTAAGTTCATACTGAGAAAAGCAGACATTTTCCTATAGAAACTTTTAAAAATATATATATGTGTTAATTTGTCTTTATACATTGGAGTAATAGTTTATTCTAAAAATATTTTAAATAGATAGCTTTTGTTCCTCGGGAAATTGTTTTCTTAAATATTAGATAAAATTATACCAACTTAATGTTTTGTAATAAATTTTTAAGACTTTCAATTCAACATTAATTCAAGGTAGTGAAACTTAAAATATGTTTTTTTTTTAAAAAAATTCATCATGTTTTAAGTGTGTTATTTATAAAAACTTTCAAGATAAATATATATATAAGAATTTATTTGATCTTTAAGGTACATTATCAATAACATATGTACAAAAAATTACACTCTAAATATATGAATAATGTTTTTTAACAGAATACATATACCAAGGAAGTGCTTTATTTTAATTGAGACTGAAAATAATCTTCAGAAGCATTTATTTTAAAGTCACACTATTATGTACAATACTTTTTACATACTATTAGGTCTTTACAAGCTTTTATAAATATATTTTTGTAAAACAATGGTATTGAGATCAAAATACTATATAAATTAGAATCATAAAATATCAACAAATAGTCAAAAATGCATGCAAAAAAAATTAAAAAACAATCTATTTTCGTTAACCTGCAATATTTGTTAAAAAGTGACTAATAAATACTTGTATTCTTCTGTATTAAATTATCACATGAATAACATACAATAAAAACGGCTACAACTCTAAATGTTGCATTTGGTTATTTTAAAATTGTTAATACCTATTAAACCTACTTATTGCCCTATTTATTGGATTATTGCAATATTAGATGGAAGAAAAATTGTAATGAATATTTTATAGATAGTTTAATGACTCAAATTATCTTAAGTATATAAATTAACCCTTTAATAAACCTTATAAGGTAAAAAAATGGTTTTTAACCAAAGAGTCATACATATTTATAAAACAAATTAATACTTAAAACATGAAAGTTTAATAATGGATAAAAAAAATTTCATTAATTCAAGATGTGATGTCAATCAACCAGAAACCTTAATAGAATTATATAAATTAGTGGTTAAATGCTTCAACCAGAAATTTCAGTGAAAACAGTTTTCATTAACTCTGGTATAAAGTTGCATAATTATTATAAGTATGAAAATCACTTTGTTGAATATGTATAAGAAAAACAATTATAGGGGTTATGGTAAGGCTGACCTTATATATTTTAAGAATTTTTATCAATATTATAGTCAATATGCATTAAAAGTTGCCAATTAATGTTATGGCAAAGAAAAAAGACAATATTGAAATCTGACAAATCACAGTTAAGGAAGGTGGGTAAACAGTGCATCAAAATCTGTTTGATTGCAGGTTGAAACTAGAAGGTATTACTAATTAACATCTTTCAACTTATGTTTTCTCCCAAAATGAAACAGGTTTTGACACGTGCTATCCTCAAATATGATTTGGCGTGTTTCGATAGTGTTTTCATATTTTTCCTTGTTTAATTATTAATTTGTGGTCCCCAAAGTGTAAACTTATGTTTTTATTTTTACCCAGGGTTCATAATATATGTATCATGGGTGATGTTTACGAAACACCCTGTATATGTTACTTTAAAATTAACTTGAATAGAGAACTTTATAATCCAACTTATGACACAATGAAAATTGTATAAAATTTTTATGTTAAAGAAACAGAATATTTTCCTGGATATTTCGATTGTTCCTGGAAAACAGAAGTTTTTCTTATTTTATTTTCAATACTATTTAGATTGCACTGATCCAAACAACTTTCTAAATTTTTTGTTTTTGAAAATCAGTCAGAAATGCATAGCTCTCATATAAACTTTGGAAATTTCACACACGACAATAACTTACACTTCACATACATTAAATTCATAAAACATGTGGGGGTTTACTTCATTGGAAGAATTAAAACTTTTTGATTAAAAAAAAAAAAGTATCAACACATCTAATCCAAATCCAAAGCAAAAAATGAACCCTTAAAAATTTTCTCATATATAATGACACAGATATATTAACATTAAAAAAATAAGAAATCACTTTAAGAGCAGTCAAAAAGTTCATCAGCGCAATTTACAGCATAAAATACAATTGTTTTTATATAATACATATCATTCAAATTGAAGCTGACTACTAACACAACAAGAGCCAGATGATTACATATTTAAAGTGCACTTCATTCAATTGGAAGAAACTGTTAATTTCAAAGGATTCCATTGGTAAAGTATTGAAATCCATCGTACAATTTAGTGGTAATGGAGTGCATGCTGGATTCAACCATACTGTCAACCAGTAGTTGAAGTTGTTCTTCAGTTAGACCCATGTGGAACCGTTCCCTAAGCGCACGAATAGCACTAGCACCGTTCTTAAAACATGGAAGTTGGCAGGAGGCTTGCATAATTTCAACAAGTGTGATGATACGCTCACAATGTTTACGAGCTGCAACCAACCCCTGAAGCATCAAGATTTTAAAGTATTCAAACATATCATTGCCAGGTCCACCCATTACCTGAATAGAAAAAAAAATTAATGACAATTTTTTTTTAAAGATTATCATTCATAAAAAATGTTTCAGATTATTTTAAAGTACACCCAATACACACAAATAGCAGAAAATCTGTATTAAAAGTATGTCTGTGTATTTTGATTTGAAAAGTTTATGAAAGATATTTAAATCAATGATAGAAAGTGTAGATCAATAATGTTCATGTAGTAATAATTCTCAACTTTTTTAACTATTAAATCATAAAAAAATATTGTTCCTAAAAATTTAAAAGCACAACAGACACAAATGACAGAAAATTAATCTTAATTGAAAGTATGCCCGAGTATCTTATTTTGATTAACAAAGTTTTCGAAAGACAATTTAATTAATGATAGAAAATATAGATTATTCATGTTCAAAGCCTAGGTACATGAATAATTTCATAAATATAAAAAAATAAACTACAATCTTAGTTGGAAAAAACACCTTACTAAATTGTACAATTAATAGAATATCTGATTACTTACATCAACAAACTCTTGGGTAAGTTTAAAAGGAGAGTTCTCAAAGCCCAAATTTTTTGGGGAAGATGACAATATAAATCCAAAATCTATATGTATAATATGGCCTTCCCCATCTAGAAGAATATTGCCATTATGCCTGGAATATAAAGAATATGTAACATTAATTAGCAATAAATTAAAAAGGCACAAACAATAAAAAGAGTGAAATAATAAGGTAAACACAATACACAAATGATAAAAACACAAAATTAATTATGCTTGCAAACACTAGAGTCCCTATATCTAATACAAAATTTTTATAATTAATTTGATAATTATTATAATAATTATATATAATATATTATAATTAATTCAATATTAATTAAAATAATTTTTTAATTTTTTCAGAATTTTAAAACAAAAATTACTTTTAGTGTAGAAAACATTAAAACTTTGTTTTATATTTTATTTGTATAGATAAATGCAGTAAACTAGCAAAGACATTTGAAAACAGTGTTTTCCACATTTCTGTTAATAAAAATTCTGTCATAAATTTCAGAATATTTTTTTAACGAACTCAAAATTTGCTACCAATCGACAAAACAATTTTGGATTTAAAAACATCAATAACACTTAGCTTCAATAATTTTAGGTTAATAGTTTCATTAGGTTTTAAGTTTATTTTCCCCATTCGATATTTATATTAATAATGTTTGAAACTGTGATTCTTTTTCATGCTTTCTAACTTACTAAACATTGTTTAGATATAGGAACTCTAGCCAACACAACACCAATTGAACTTTGACTTTTTTAAAATCAATAGAATACAGGCAAAATTATTTTGCATGCCAGTAGTTTCCACTATGATAATAATCAACACTGTTTTCATAATACACTGTTGAAGAATGCTACATACATAACTTTGTAAAAACAGTAAAATTCTAGAAAGAAAAAAATTTAAACCTACCTATCTTTTACTTGGACTAGATATGACACCAAGCAGTAAGCAGCACAGCTTTGCACAAAATTTCGCTGAGCTGTCAAGAAGTCTTCAGAGGTTCCACAGCCAAATTCTTGAAGAAAATATTCCAATAAAGACATCTTGCTATGTTTTTTGACTTGATGCAAAGATACTGTATTCAAAATGGGTTCAATCATGCCGCTATCATCAGATGTGACTAATATACGGTAGGGTCGAACCCAAAGAGGCACCCTCTCATCTTCCCAAATTTTCTAAAATTGAAGCATAAAATTTAGATTTTTCAATTAAAAGTAAAGTCATCAGAAACAGCTTATTGAAAAATATTTAGATATCAGCATTTATAATACATAGATTTATCAACACTTACGAAGCGATGGAACAACTAGGGAAAAATCACTTTGGGTTGAAACTTTGTGTACGAGTAATAATATTTTAGGTTTTCAACCCATAAAATAGAGAAAATTTGTCAGTCTTTAAAAATTTGTCCAGAATAAAAGTTATAAATTAATTTAACTCAGACTAACAGCACTGCAGCCTAGGTAGAAAAGTACATAACTGCCTTAGATTCCAGCTGATTGTCTATTTCTTATTTATTTAAAAATTGTTTCATGAAAAGAACCATAAGAATTTTTATTTAAGACTATACCAATTTTGATGTGTAACTTTACCAGTGTGTTTGGGACTCATGTTTTTAATATAGCTGAAGCTATAATGTGAAAGATTGGAAAAAAACATGATAGTTATAAACAAAAATTCTAATAGCCCTTGTTATCAACAAACATAATTAAAAGCTTTAAAATATCCCACTTATCTGTCATTGTGTCTGTCGTTATTATCAGCACAATTTATATCAGTATTAATACATCTTATTTTAAACATAAGATTGAATCATTTCTGAAATTTAAAGATTAGAACCTTTAAAAAAAATTAATAAAATTTATTAAGAGTTTTATTTTTAAAAAATTTCCTATTTTAAAGAATAAAAAAAGTCTATAATTATCAACCCCGAACATCAGCGTGTCAAGCAAGTATGCTACAAACAGTTTCATTGGTTATAATGACAGTTAACAAAACCAGTGCACCATTTAAATTTTTAAAAGCTTTTTCCAGATATGACTAGCCAGTGTGCACCATTATTTTAAGTGTTGAGTCCCCTTAAAGTATACTACTAATATACCAAGTAATTAGTAAATTTTCAGTTATACCCCCCTTTTGTTTGTTTTATTAGTAAATTTAATAGAATAAATTGAAATTTACAAAACGTTCATTAAATTTATTCAATTAGATCTAGATTTTTACCAAGTTAGTAAAATTTTGATAAAGTAAATGTATTAAATATAATTAATATAATAAAATTCCTTTCAAGCACCAAGTGCAAACAACTGGAGTATCCTAGTGCGGAAGAAAGCAGAACGAAAAAAGATTCCAAAGATTCTGTTAAAAGTTAACAAATTTTTTGTTACTACATATTGTTTTTTTTTAAAATCATTTTTGTATTTCTTTTTATTGGTCATTTATTTAAATAATGTGTAATAAAAGGGAGTTATTATACCTCAATTATAATACCCAACTAGTTCAAACTGTTTGCAATACGGATATAGTGAACTCCCGCTTATAGTGAACCCAAATTTCGGTTCCTTGAAGGTCTAACTGTACTTCTAAAAAAATTTAACAGTATAATTTTTTTTATCAGCCTGGTTGATAATCACTATTTTAATTGCTTTCTTTAACAATAAAAAAAATCGAATTTCAGTATTTTAATTTGCAATCTAGAAATAACCCAAAATCACCTATGGTTTTTTATTTTCATAATAGCTCCACAGAATATCAAAAGCCCAATGAGTGCTTCTAACCATCCTATTTTGAGGGAAAAGCAAGACTCTCAAAATTAATAATTTATAATGAGACAGACTCCTTTAAAATTAATAATTTATAATGAGACAGACTCTTTTAAAATTAATAATTTATAATGAGACAGACTTTTAAAATTAATAATTTATAATGAGCCAGACTCTTAAAATTAATAATTTATAATGAGCCAGACTCTTTTAAAATTAATAATTTATAATGAGATAGACTCGTTTAAAATTAATAATTTATAATGAATCACAGCAATAAGTGATGATGTAAGATGAAAATACCTGCAAAGTGGCTAATAGCTGATAGGCCATTAATTCTTGTCTCAGATCATCACCACATTTGATAATGGCTGAGAGAAGATTCCAGTTAGGAAGATGACCATAAGGGGAGGATTCTCTAATGCGCCTCACTTTTTCTTCCCAAGGCTCCTTCAGTGCTGCAGCTGAAGGATCTTCTGGATCACGCTGAAGAGGGGAAAAAATAAAGGCATTGTTTAAAATTGTTACTGTTGGTAAACAATAGCTTACAGGTATACATTTTAATTGCTTCTCTCACCAATTTCTTTTTTTAAATTCAAAAAAATCAATATATTTTCCTATTTTATTAATAAATACAAGAAACTAAAACAAAACATAATACAAAAGTTAAAATTTTTTTAATGTGTAAAAAAAAATATTCATTTACCATCAGTTTACTATCACAAGTTATCTCTGGCAAATGAAAAGAGTTAAATATTAGTCTTTATATGATAGTTCTTAAGACAAGGGACAACACAAAGGTGATATTTTTCAAACACCAGTGAAGTAATACGGCATTCTTATTTTACTTTTTTCTATGTAAATTCAGCAACCATCGTATATACAATCGCACAAAACACTTGTGCAGTTCCACAATCCAATAGCTAAACTCCCAAACATAACTTGGCAAACTTCCAATCACAGCAGATTATTATTTTTTTTCCTACTTCCGGCAAAGTAAAAACGCGATAAAACAAAACATACTGATAAATTCTGCTACACCCAAGTTTTCTCCGGATAATAAATATTTGCGATATATACATACCCTGGTTAACTCAGGACAATGAGAGAAGCAGCTAACAGTCACAAAAAACAGCCATTTAGCAAACAGAGAATATTATATAAGAGTTAACACAAAGTTTGCTAAAACCAAGACATTGCAAATTTTAGATATTGACTCCCATTTATAGGTAGTAGGCAGATTTATTAAACATATTTTCTATAGTATTTACAAATGCAATTAAAATCGAATAGACATTTTTGCATTTTTATAAAAAATTAATACTTTATTTTTTACAGAAAAATATTAAACAATTCAACAAAAAAAATTTTTTTTTGAACAAATTGACAAGCCTTACATAGCAAGTCTAAGAAGCCTGTATTATGAGTTTAGGAATAGGGAATTTTTTTATAAAAATAATAAAATTTGTAAATATTTTATTAAAAGCCTTGTAGAAAAATTAATAGATAAATTGGAGTACAGACAAATTTGTATTAACAATCAATATAATACTTAAAAGAATAGTTCAAAATTTCAAATTTTTAAAAACTCATTATAAAACTATTTTTTTTAAAGATGGAAAAAAATCTAATATATCTGAGAGTAATAATATAGTACTAAAAATAAAATTAAAAATAAAACAAATTTAAATGAACCGATGTATCAGTAAATTCATTTTTTCATTGATTGATTTCATTTCTTTTCAAAATGTGTCAGTAATTAATATTTTCTACAATTAAATTTTTTAAAAAAAAGAACAATAGAGTAGATTAAAATTTTAAATATATATATATATATATATATTAAGAATTATTTCTACTTTTGCAGAGGGTAAACACCACCAACATTACATATTTAGCATCACAAAATCATACAGTGTCATAAACAAAGCCCGGCATAAAAATAGTCCTAATTAATTGAGAAAACATCACTAAAGAATAAAGTCATAATTAAGAAGTTATAATAATTTGCATTTCCAGATTCTTAAGTATGGCTATGCTTTCTTAAAAAAAAGAAAACAAAAAAAATATTAACATATAACTTGCAACAACAAATTACTCGATAAAACATATTGTTATACCCCATATCGTGTTTGCAATAATTATAATAATTAAAGAGATATGATACAAGAGTTGAAAATTCTAGGTACCTTAAAAGTACTTTTTGGTGCATTTATATTTTCAGAGAGTCTTCTCCTAATGTCACCAGCAGCAACAAAAGTTGGCTCTCCACTAGTACCACTGTCTTGAGACATCTGAGAAAGGGCATCTCGATCCTTAGGTTTAGTACAGGAAGCATACTGGAATACATTGTGCAGAGTTACTTAAATTAATTTGTCATTTCAACAAAAAATCATTAATATCTTATAAAAATGTCTTCGCAAACATTAAGACTCCATGTATGATGGAAAAGACAAAAAAAAATATCGAGATTATGAAGAAAAAAAAGCTTTAAAGGCAATTAACATAATCTTATGTTAAAAATCTTATGTTGAAAAATCTCAATTAAATCATTGCTTTATTAAATTAAATGAATAATAGAAAGATGAAACTTTGTGACTTTTCATTGCCCTGAGAACCCCACATGAAAATACATAATTAGTGAATAATATCCAATTTAAGTTGGAGGATTATGGTACTGATCTACAAAAAGAAAATCACAAAATCATTAGCTTGCTAGTGATGAAGATGATGGCGCTTTACCAATAATGAAATAAACAAGTGAAATAAAATTTAATTTTACTAAAAGGAAAAAATGTGGTAATATTTAGTTGGTCCCCATGATAAGCAAAATGTAAGACTTTTCGGTTTGATTTTATTGAGCAGAAAGTAAAACCTTAAATTGAGAATCTCTTGAAAAATGCAGCAGAGTTGCGTGTGAGAGTGCAAAACTCCTTCACACCAAGTCCAGGTCAGTATACGTACACGCAGACCCGCAAATATTTAATGTAAAAAGTCAAATGATTGGCGCTTTCATAAGCTATGAACCAACATTTTCCCAAAATGGATTATGTTTGAATTGGGAAAACATTGAATAGAACAATGTGAAAATCACACCTCTTGCACAATTCATGGCAAAAATAGATACCGTAATGGCAAAAATAGATACCGTAAAGAAAAAATATTTTAGAAAAAGGAAAATTAAGCACTTTTTAAAAACACCCAAGCAAAAAAGCACCTTTAAAGACTTTTTTTAAAATGAAAATAAGCACCTTTAAGCACTTTTTAAAAACGCTACACACCGTGTTAAGTGACCAAATCCATGAAAAGAATGTAGAAACTGAAAAATGGACACATTTATTGCACAAAATAATAATATTAACTTAAAATGAGGTTAACATTAAGTCTCAATGGTTTCATTATCTTCCACATATCATTAAAAGTCTAAGGAAAAATATCAGAAACACCATCTGTCAATTACAGCCCTAGTGTTCAGTCATGTCACAAAGGGTGAGCTAGGGCATGGAAATTTTGCTCCCTGACATAGAGTTTAGTTAAATAGAGGGAAATCTGCATAAATTTCATCGGTTACAGTGCCAAGTCTGTAATTTGCAGCCAAAAGTTGGAATGTTTAGATGTATATGGTTAGGATGCATATTAAAAAATGGTATATTTTAGTTTAGTGCATCTATTTCAACTCACCTGCATAGAAATAGCGTCATCTTCTTGAGTCCAGCAGTCCCCATCATCATCAAGAGCAGGATGAACAGAAAAAGATACCCCACTAAAATCTTGAGTGTCAAAATAATCTGGAAGATTTTCTTCAGAGCGTGTCTGCCTCAGGGCATTTATCATTTTTGGAGGAACAGGTGCACAGTGAATATTATCTACCTCAATGACTTCAACATAAATAAGATATGGTGCCTAATGAAACAAACACAGAAGTTTTAATAAATCATATATTTTATTGATTACTTATAAATAAAGATGAATAACACAGAGATGAGAGTAGGAAAAGAATAAAAACTCAGAAAATAAATAAAAAAGTGTGAAACTATTTCGCGATAAAAGAAAACATTTAAATTATTGAAATACACTTTTTTTTAAAAAATTATATGTGTGCATTGACAGTCCAACAAACTTTTAAGAATTAAAAGTATATAAATAATGGTTAATGAGAATAGAATAATAATAAAGTTAAACAAAATAAGGTAGAAATATTACGAAAAAAGTCATTTAACATAACTTTGTTTTCATTATTATTTTCTCTCTAGAAAAATTCACTGCTATTTTTAATATTTGTCGACAAATATTTTCGTAAGTTTAGAAAGTCAGAAATTCGGCCAAGAGTCAGAAGAAACTCATATCTGGTAACAAAAGATGCACTTTCAAGCATGGTTTGCCAAAAATATCCCTACAAAAATTTTTTATAAACTTTGTAAAGTTCTGTCAATCGATGACATGAAATATGATAATCAACTGACATTACAAGCTAAACTCATACTTTTATTAATATTTAGGAATCTTTTTATTTTCACTTCTTTTTGGTGATCTTTGTGTTTGTCAAGAGGTAGCAGAGTTGCAGATTAAATCATTAGTATAATTAGCATTTGTTTTAAGTTGGGAGTAAACCATAATGCTCGGGCCAGCCACAGCGCTGACTTAAAATATCCTCAGTGGTAGACTGATTATAAGTTGAGTCCCTTTGCCATCAGGGTAACCATGGGAGGATTTCGTGGTTTTCCCTCTCCATGTAATGCATATGTCAGTTAGTTTCCTCAAAAACTCCTCCGCAAAAGGAAATCACTCCCAATACTTGAGTCAAGAATTTCCTTGTCTTTTGGATCAGGTTCAAAATTACAAGGCCACGGAGTTGTACATTGGTAAACTCATCATTGGGTCGACTGTTCAACGACGGTTATAAAATAAAAATCTTAATACTGTGTTTTATAGATTGAAAAATAATAATAAATTGATAAGAACACAAATAGTCTTAGAAAATATTCAATTTTTTCACATTATAATGTTAAGACATTGTTCATTTTCAAGTATACAAAATTATACGCATTTAACATAAAAATTACTTACTTTATCTTTGGAATTTAAAACCACAGATGCTTGAGGCGGGATCCGTAAAATCAAGTGTTTAGTAGTTTCTGCATGAATTGGAAGCCAAACACGAGCTGGTAAATTTAGATTTAACATTGATAGCTCTGCTTGAAGCTTTTGAGCTGCAAAAATATTAAAGTATATTTTAATCATTTTAAAAGGTCTATTTGCATTGCTTTTGATATAGACTATAAGAGAATAAGACAAAGAAATGAAACAACAAATTAACATACTTTTTAATTCTTTAGTTAAGACCGGCTGCAAACGCAGCCCGATAGACATTAATGCTTGCACAAAGTCTTGCTCAGCACTTAAACGAGGAGCCTAAAACAAAATAAATATAATGCCAATAAAGTCATGTAAAAATTACAAATGAAATTTATATTAAAACTAACATTTTCTCATTAAATGCCGAAAACTAATAATTGTATTCATTTGTGAACTAAACAAGACTATTCATTAAAGTTTATTTGAACTGAAGATTATAACATTTCCTAATTTTAAAATAAATGACAATCTGTTATAGACATTATGTTAGATTCATAACACAAATTGTTCACTTTTTAAAATATTTTTACACCAATGAAAATTACTAAAAATTGGATAAAATATCAATGATATCAAAAGCTATTTTAACAAAAAATAATTTGAACTACTTTTTTTTAAAGCCAAGTTATGTGTTTTCTAAATCTGCAAACATGGCATTCGTAAACGATGGAATTGCTCCTCTGAATTGATCTAAAAATTCAATCAGGTGAGTTAATGGAACGATGGAATTGCTCCTTTGAATTGATCAATATTTCGATCGGGTGAGTTAATGGAACGATGGAATCGCTTTTTTGTATTGATCTAAAATTTCAATTAGGTGAGTTAAAAATTGTCAATGAATTTCCAAAATAATATTTAATTACCTGGCAATGACAATGAACAATCTGTCCTCTCAAATCACTGCATATACTTTGGCAGCTTTCAAAACATTTACATCCATTATCAAAAGCTTGACCCGATGCAAGATCTTTAGGAGCATGTTTACTTAAGCCACCTAATGTAGCACTTCTTCTCATAGCATTGCTACCGCCTAAACCTAAAAGAAAATTTACTGCTATTAGAAATTATATTCTGAATAAATATGTGCCAATATACAAGGTGAAAAGGATTTAATATCTACCGGTAGCATCTGAAAAAGATCTTTGATGAGTCTTTTTAGGTGATATAATAGAGCTTGCAGGTGGACAGGGAATGATAGGTTCCTTTGGCCTAAAAGGAAACAGATAAAATATGTTTATAATGTGTAATAATGTATAGGTAATACCAGTTTTCAAATGCAGTCAAATTTGCTTGCTACCAACAAAATTAACACCTTTCATTTTATTAAAGGCAAATCTCAAACATTGATACACTTTGAAACATTTTATAATTAAAAGACATAATTATGCTTATAACTACACGCATGTAGATAATATCAAACTTTTCAAGCGCAATTAAATAAATATAAAACAAAATTAGATTAATTGTGCTAAGCTAAGCAAGAGAATTTTAATGAAAGAGAGGGCAGCCCAAGTTACTACTGCATAGATAAGTGTTAAATTTTATAAATTTTAGTGCTATGGAGATGCTATGCAACTGAAGAGAATAGTGTTGCTTATACCACCACATTTTAGTCACATACATCCTTTAGGCTGTCCGATTATTTAGTAAGCATATTTTTGGCAATTTCAGACAATCTCTTTCCCTTTGAAAGTAAAAGTAAACAAATCATAACCCCCTCCATATTTATGTAACAAAGTCACAACACCCTCTCTCCTTGTTTTCCTTAATATTATTCATTCTTTTATTTTAATACTCTAATTTTATAATTAAATTCAAATAAAAGGTGGAACTCACGCAAAACAAGATTTACGTTTTCACTCATTATATAAGATTCTGAGTAGAATATTCTTCAAAAAAATGTTGTGTTTCCCTCTCTTGACCTCAAAAACTCTTCCAAGAATTTTTTTCAATCTATCTTTCCTCAAATTTAATTACAAATTTCAAATTTTTCCAATTGTAATTTTTTGGTACATTTTTTTCACTGCATTTTAATAAAAGTTTGAAAATACGGAGATTTTAATGCCATTTAACATGCCGATTATCATCCCTTGTCCGCAAACATAAGCAAATCGCAAACACCCTCCCGACCTTTATTGTAAACACTTAAGTGCTTAGGTGAGATTTTAATAGTCCCTTGCCTCAAACAAATTTACTGTCCCAACATCACACTCATACGTACTAACAAGAAGAGCCGAGTCTTGTGTTAGCTTAATGTTGTATTGTCACCACGTTTTAGTAACAGGAGTAGTGGGGTTAGTTAAAAATTTATATGCTAGACGTTGACAAGAGCAGTGTCATGAAGAGGTCTGAAAGGTAACTACTGTGCATTAAGTTAAAAGTGGCAAGATGTTAGGTTAAAGTCTTAAAACAAGACAATAAGGCCAACATGTGGCATATTTAGGAATATATTATTCTACTAACTATTTTATTTAGGAACATATTATTTTGCCAATTATTATTATTTAATACACTATTTTACCAATCAATCAACATTTTAAAAGAAACAATAAATTGTACATATTTCCTAATTAGGAATAGCTGGAATAAGAATTAAACTAATTTTTTCTTCTTCCTTAAGTAGCACTAAAACTTGGAGAAATAATTTACTTACACCTTCATCACATTATAAGAAAAGTATTCCACTATTTGGTTAGATGCATATTAAATATATGTTTCAGAAATAGTTTTATTTTATTAAAAATTAACATGATAATCAAAAAATTTTTTAAATAAAATTTTTTGATACAAATAAAAATTTAATTTGAAATTAAAGCAATTGTTTAATGAATATGCAAAAGAATAATTTAATAAATGGGAAAACAACACAGAATAATAACTAACAGCTGCTATTATTAACTACTAACAAATGATCGAATCAGAACTGGGACAAAATGTATCAACATAATTTTAAAATATTTTATTTTTAAATAGAATGATGAAAATAATTAATATTTTCTAACCTTAATTCTTCAGAAAGAATTAATTTCTTCAATTTTGAGCCTTGAGACTTTTTACGGGACGGCGTATTTTCAGAACAAAATGCTTGTAGTAACCATGCTAACTGTAGTGAAAACTTTATACTATTTCGACACCTAAAAATTAAAATTACTTTTATTACTCAAATAATACTAAGCACAACACAAAAGCATAAACATTTAGTCTAATTAAATACTTCCAAAAATAATATTTAACTATACACATTTTCAACATAAAATGAACAACTCTCAATTCTTAAATGAAATATTTTAGGCACAGCAGAAGATACAATATGGATGCTAATTTATAAAAATAACTTCCTGTGATTACAGAGCTATTTAACCATAGTAACAGCCTGCCTCACTCTCAGATAATGACCCAGTGTCTCAAATATAAATTACTCCCTCTTGATGACTTAATTTCATCATTTTTGACAAATGAAAATGATACATTCTATACATATATAGGAAAAAAATCTAGAAACTAATGCTTTGTTCTGAAATTGGCATGAATTCTTGGCATTTCAAGATGTACGAAACTTCTTTGAAACACAGTGCTTATACCTTAGATATAGGTATAACATTCTTCATTCAAAAACAAAACTTTACAGTAAAATAAAGAGAACTTAACTTCTTACTTGTAAAAATAATCCTGTCAGATGAGCTTATTGTGACCAAATTTCCTACTCTCCCTCCCTACCAAACTGTCACTTTCAGAAATAGCAGGCCTGTGACAAATGAACAAATGGTGATTTTAAGGACTAAGAATAAAGTAAATTAGAGTAGGAGGACAACGTAGACCCATTCTAAATATATCTTGTTTCTTTATCCACTGTTATTTACAAACATTTTTTTTTTAAAAAAAAGTTTATATTTTGAGTTGTGTACAATTTTTTTTTTTTTTTTTACTTGACATTAAAAAATGTCCTCTTTTTAAAAGTCAAATCTAATTGTCGAAATTTGTTGACTGTATAACGAAATATTATTAAACCTATATAAAACTATATTACAAAAATGAAAAGAAAAAAAACTGCCAGAAAAAAGGGGCTATTAAAAAATAGGAAAACTTTTTATAGCTTCCGAAAGTTTTCTGAAATTCTGTAGTACATATTGGTATGAGAATTTTTCTGGTAAATTAATATTATGTCTGGTAAATAAAATCTGCAGTAATTAACATGCCGCGAAAACTATGTTAAACTAAAATACTGGATACAAACTATTTTTTTAATATAGTAAGATAAATTGATCAATCATAAATAAATTACACTTTCTTGAAATCACACTTGCTCTACAAATTAAATAATTCAATTGCTTTCTACAAAAAATTCATAATTCTTACCTGTACACAAGGTATGGATGAATAGCTTCGGCTATATCGGAATGGTGGACGTACAAGCTCACAAGTTGCGGCAAGTAGAAATCTACACTTTGATCATCGAAAGTGAACATTCGATTGCCTAAAATAAGAAAGAAAATTTTTACTAATGCAGATTTTTAAAAACCAAATAATTACATAAACACATTACGGCAGTTACAAATTAATTGACTAACCAAATATGTTCAATTTGGAAACAAATAGAAAATAATAAAGATTTCTAAGAAATGTCGCCTAATTTTAGCTAAAATTTTGACTGTGGTACAACAGAGAAAAAACAAACATTGCGGAAAGGTAATCAACTTGAAGGGTATCACTCAAAAGTCCTTGTCCCCTTCCCGAATTTTCGCTAAGTAAAAAAAAACTCGAAACGCCTTGACAATGTAAGCTGGAGTAAACAAGAACAAGCATCTATACAAAAATATCCCCAATAAGTAAGTTTCATTTTCAAAGGATAATATTAAATTCTTAGAAAAGGGCATTTGCACCAAACATTAACAGTGATTAAGTAGTCAGTAATAGGAAAGGTAATCAAACAATTTTATAATAGTATTCCCATAAACAAAGTTTGATGCTACAAAGTAATCTTACTTTCATGAACACTAAGTTGATGGAACTTCCACCTTCCAGATATGATTAATACACGTATATACCGCGCGATATGCATAGCATAATATACTACGGAAACCGTTCACTAAAAATTTGGCATTATTTTGTGTTCGCAGGAAGTTTTTCATTTTATTTAAATCTGCTTCCAGCGCCAATCTAAATTCGGAAAAATCGATCACATTGAATTTAGATTGATAAACTGAACTATACTATAACTTCAATCAGGATATCAGGAAGGCTGTCATATCAGGAAGAAGAAACTTAAGCCCATTAACGGTCCTTTCACAAGCTATTTCATCCTTAAAACGGACCATTTATAGTATTTTTTATCTTTAAAAACGGAACCTCCATAAAATTCTTTCATAAACATACGAAGCCGAATCAGCAAATGATTTTGTTAATTATCTTGAATGAATATAATTTTAGCACGATCGCAATGGTATTTTTCGTACAATCGAATAAATCGAACCTTAATTTTACACATTTACAAAAAATCATGGCCCAATTCTGATTAACAAAACTGAGCACATTTTTCACAAATTAACAAGAACAGAACCTTTTATATAAAAAAAGTCTGAAGAAACCTCTGCTGACTACATAACCCGCAGTCAACGGAAAACAGCTATGAAATTTTTTTTACATTAATACTTTCTTTTTTTTTTTTTTTTTGTGAACTAAAAAAGAGAAAATTTTAAAAACTTTGAAGGGAAAAAATAAAAATTATTCTTTGAAAGTTCGACATTTCCCCTTAAATAGAGAAAAAAAAAAAAAAAAAAGTCACNATATCACAACACTGTAGAAACCAAAAATCTTAAATAACAGAACTCAGCTTTCAGAAAAAAACAGCCCGTAAGACCAGTCATAAAATCAAGTTATGTAACCTCTGCTCAGTATCAAAGAATAAATGGGAATTTGAACTCATGAATCATCTCTCTTGAAGGACAATACAAAAGCTGCACAATGAATGAATACAACGCTGAGGAAGTATGAAACGAGTAATAATAATAATAAAAAACATTCCATAGATTCCTCATCTTTTACTACCCCCCCAACTAAACTAAGGGACTGTACTTTAATAACGTTAAAAAACTCTCCAGTAATTTTAAGAGTATTTCCGGTAATTCTCTTATCCCAATTAACTCTCCCTTTCTTGTACAAGATTATTACTCAGAAACCTAAAAGCCTTAATTTTATGTAATAAAATTCATCATTTGGGGTCGCATTTTTTTCTTAATATTTTTGACCCTCCGCCTCTTTTATCAAGTGCCACACTTAATCATTTCCACAATTCTTCCTTGTTACAAGTCACGCGATATCGCAGAAAAATTGTACTAGTACCTCAGGAACAAAACACAGGTTATGGATCATAATTCTAATTTCACTTTCACACTTTTATGAGCATTATAATGATTAGCTGTGAACTCATTTTGACGAAAAATGTGCAAAAATATAAAAACTAATATTAAAATATTTAATCACTGATTTAAAATATTGTATTTTTTTTTAACCAAAATCTGTATGACACACTTGTTACTACTTCCTTCCTCCCTCCTTACCTGAATTTCTTGAAACTCCTTCCTTCAAGCGTGTAATGAGTATTAGTTAATAGCTTTGCGATAATTAATAATTCATTTAAACTGTTAATTAAATGTGTTGATTTTTTTCATATTTTCTTATTTAAGATCAAAAAAATTAACGTAAGTTATGAAAAATACTCTAAAAATTTGTCAAAATAATAGTTAAGTGATGAAATTAAAAACTTGCTATCTTTAAAGATGTTAAGAGAGTTTACAAAAGTCGAAAGCCAATTTTAGTAAAGTTTAGTTATTCTACGATTCTACTCACTTAAATTAAGTTAAAATGTATGACCGACTGCTTTAGTATTTTAGTTACATTTAAAGGGCTGAATTTTTTATCAATTTATAAGGATTTTTTAAGCATTAATTTATCAACACACTTTATACTTCACGTAAAATTTGAATAATTCTACTACAGAAAATTATAATAAAACACCCAGCATAAAAAATATATAAATACAAATTACAACCCAAATATGTTATCAAATAACAACCCAAAAATTTAGAATATTTTAGAGGAGTTAGAGCAAATATAAATAAAAATTAAAAAAATAACTATCCGTATAATATTTTTTTTCCAAGTATCAATGACGATGTTCTCTGGCCAGTCTTATAATGGACACTTTTTAAAAAAAAAAAATTCAGTGAAAAAGTATAAAGAGAAATTTTTTTGAAATCTTAAAAAGAGAAACTGAGAATAACAGCTACAATAAACATATTGTATTCAATGAAAATATTTCTGTATTTTAAATGAATAGATATGTCAAATTGCCAAAACCTAAAAAAAAAAATATTTCATTAACTGATTTTTAAATTGGATCACTTATGCGGCCACATATAAGAAGCAAAAGTAACAGATTATAATTAGAAAATAAACCGCATAGCTGAGGAATTTTAAAATTAATACTAGTAAGGCAAAAGAAGAAAAAAAAAATACGTAAAAAATTATAACACCTTTCACTGTTGTTAAAATCTCTAATAAGATTTACAGAGCCAACCGAAAAATAGAAATTCATTTTCATATTATTATTGATAATTATTAGATGGAAAAAAAGCAAGATCAACAATGAATATCAAATCGGTAAGAATTAATAATATAATGAACAAATAATCTGAGTGCAAAATTGAACACCCCTTACCTCCATTTTTTCAAAACATTCCTTCATAAAAGCATTATAATCCACCATTTTCTTTTCTTTGCTCTGTTATACATAGGGGGAGATTTCACTATAATGCATTAACTATGCAGTTCTCGTCATTGTTGTCAAAAATGCAGTCTTCTAGATATAAAGACCCCGCGTTAGTGAACCTGAACAGTCCGCAAGATACCTTCTATTCTTAACGATAAAAAGGTCAGAGGTATGAAACTCAGTTTGAAATTTTTTCCCACTAAGCTTCACAATCCCCCCTCTCCAAATATTTGATTGTCGGACAATTAAAAAAAAAAAAAAAACCTACGGAATATTTTAAGTTTAAATTTATTCTACACTGGTTTATGAAATGAAAGTATCCATCAAACGCATCTTTTCAGGGGTTAGCGGGAAGGGGAAGATTCCATAGGATTTTTAATAGAGGGAGAATTTGAACCAAATTACGTATAGGCTTGATCGTAAATTAAATACTTTGGCTCTGAAATGGGGTATCAATTCAATTGAGTGCACAGCTTGTCTTAATATTTAAATCTTGAAGAAATTTATTATGCCCGTAGTTTTTATATACATAACTCATTATTTATTAATGTATATTAATAATTCACAATTTATTAATATATATTCAGGGGTCTGACCAGAAATTTTGTGAAAGGTCCGTTTTTGTAAAATTGTGAAAGAATTACTCGCAATTTGTGAATATAAAATAAACGTTAAGTCACATTCTTTCAACCAGGGTCCGCTTTCGTGAATTTGTGCAAATAGGGTCCGTTATTGAAAAAAAAAATTTTTTTTAAATTAGTTTTTAAATTGTAAAGACATACAAGATTATGCTCAACACTGTAAAATTATAATTAGAAAAATTAAATTTTAAAAAATAAACANGTGTCCACTTACATATTCGGTAACTAATTTTTATTTGTTTAAACAAAATTACTTTGTTACAATATAGTATTCTAATACCAAAAAAAGTACTTGCGTGGCGTGAAAATATCTTTTGCGATGTAACTCTTTCAAAAGTACATAAAAATGGTTGCCATCAGGGGTGTACATGTAGATTTGTTAAATGCACCTTGTGCGCCACCTAGGAACCAAATCTAGAACCCGACACTTGAAATTTTTGCTCTGTTACAATCGTACCCTGTTACAATTGACCCCACTCTCCCCTACACAGCTTGTCTTAATATTTAAATTTTGAAGAAATTTATTATGTCTGTAGTTTTTAAATACATAATTAACTATTTATCAATATATATTAATAATTCACAATTTATTAATATATATTAATAATTCACTATATTATATTATCTAATGCCCCCACAAAAATTTAAAATTTCCTCCAAGAACTACTAGAATTTCCAATTTTTATTTTCTAAGTTCTGCTCACGTATGCGTAAAATCTAAATATTATTTTAAATAAAAAATGTATTATTATTATTATTATTATACGAAATGTGATATTGAAAATTATTTTACAACAATCAATGAAATTGTTTTAGCAGTATTTAAATATATCAATGATAAACAACTGAAAAAAATTTTCTCAATCGCAAATATTTATCACTGGAAAATTCGAAAGATCAACGCACTGACTAATATAAAATTGTTACCCATAATCACCTCAAAGCCATTCAAAAACAATTAGTTACTCATTTAAAATAATGAGCCAAAAACGAAACGAAGAAGTTCCCAAACGCTAATTAAAAACCTAAGTGACACTCGACCACAAATAAATCGCCAAGAGTCTT